TTATTTATTTTTAAAGATGACCAGTAAGGCGATCTTAACCCTTGACTTGGTGTTGTCAGCACCACACTCAGACAGTGAGCGAACCGGCCATCCCTATATAGGATCCGAACCTGTGCCTTGGTGTTATCAGCACCGCACTCTCCCGAGTGAGCCACCAGCTGGCCCAAAAACCAGAATGATTTTAAAAGATGACATGTTATTTTTTAACACAAGCAAAAAATTCCTTCAAGTAAGAGGGTACTATTGGCCCTCTCCCCAGACAGCCAAGGCTGGCCCAAAAACCAGAATGATTTTAAAAGATGACATGTTATTTTTGAACACAAGCAAAAAATTCCTTCAAGTAAGAGGGTACTATTGGCCCTCTCCCCAGACAGCCAACAGTATATGTTAACGGTCATAGAGCTGCAGCCACATGGTATGAAGAGAGATGAACCAATGGGAATATCACATCAACTGGACTGACATGTCCCTTTAGGCTGCACTGACATAGCTATGATATGAAAATGCCAGATCACCATATACTTGGAGAGGAAAGAAGGTATGCCAATATGGCACCTTCTCCTCAAGACTTTTAATACAAAATTCTTTTGGTCATCCCATTTTGCAAGTGAGGCCTACGCAAAAGAAAGCTCTCTCCTTTAAAAAAAAAATGTATATATATGTATATAATTGGTGTATTAGTTTGTTTCTGTTGCTGATAACAGAACATCTGAAAGTGGTAATTTATAAAGAAATGAAATTTATCTGTTAATAGTTTCAGAGGCTGGGAAGTGTAAAGCCCAGGGAACGCATCTGGTGAGGGCCTTTTTCTGTACGGGAACTCTACAGGGTCCCATGGAGACCAAGGTGTCACACGGCAAGAATGGGCTGAACAACAGAGAGCTAAACTCCTCACTGGTTCTCCTTATAAAGCCATCAGAACCATGCCCATGGCCACCATTTTTAACCCGTTCACTAGTGCATGGTCCTACAACCCAATCACTTCTTCAAGGCCCCACCTTACAATTACCGTAATTGTAATAAGATTTCCCACCCTCTTAACAGTCACAGTGAGGGCTAAATTCCTAATACATAAAACTTCGGGGACACAATTCAAGCTTCAGAGAGTTTCAGGGGGACATAGTTCAATCCACTACAGGCCCCATCTTTAAAATGCCATAATTGGATTTCCCACCTTAACACTGTTATAATGGGGGTCAAGTTTCCAATACATGAACTTTTAGGGGCCACATTTGACCCTAACAATTGGTTTATACTAGTCTTTTATTATAACTTTGAAACTCTTGCTTACTGAAATTTGGTATCAATTCACTAGGCTATACTTTCAAAAAATATAAAGTTTAGAATTAACAACTGGGATTTTTGGTCCATAAAAGCAGAAAAAATTTTTAAATCTTCCAATTTTCTATTGCAAAGAAAAATGAACAGTTAACATATTATCCAATTTCTAACCCAAATGCCCCTCACCCCCTGCCCAGTGAAACTGGGGTGAATTTCTCTTTCTTTGCTAGATGAGTTGNCTCCTGCCGCGGGTTCGGATCCTATATAGGGATGGCCGTGCACTGTGCACTCACTGGCTGAACGCGGTGCGGCCGGTCTCAAAAAAAGAAAAAAATAAAATAAAATAAATAAATAATAAAAAATAAAAAAGTGAGGTCCTTAGGATTTGGGAGTGACTTGCTCCACTCTGCATCCTGCTTAGCACAGAGCTTCTGGATGCTTCATCATTGAATGTTTCTTCACTTCCTATAGCATCTATGGCCAATTTTATGAGTTTCACCCAATTTGGGATTTACTGAAATACTGCCCTGTATTGTTCACCATGTTGTGTTCTTTATTCAAGAATTATGTATCGAGCATATACTAAGTGCCAGGGGTGCTGTTAAGGCACGGGGTTACAAAAATAAATCCTGCCAGACTAGAAGTTGATGGTCTAGTTGGGGGGAGGGACGCTTAATAGTAAATAAATATAATTATGATACATGCACTCCCTGAAGGGGTTCTTGTCCCCAGTAGCAGTGAAAGAGGGGTTTTGTCCCCAGTAGCAGTGACAGACTCTCCCTTTCTTTTAAAGCGCAATAGGACAAGTGAAGCGGTTATGTTCTTTGACGCCTCTGACTGCGCAACCTGGATTGAACAGTACATTGGCATTTGCAGAACTGCTTTATGGACGACCCTCTCGGCTCTAACTCTGCTCTCTCATCAAGCCCAACATTTGGTTTACAGCTAGAAAAACTTAACTTTATGCCAGTATCATTCAATCCCTCACCACCTAACTAAATTTTGTATTTCTAAGGTGTTTACCATGGACTAATATGAGGAACATAACAGAGTTAGAATAAATTGCTTTATCTGGCATAATGGGGGAAGAAAGTATTCCCTTGAAGCTTATTTTTTTAACATAACTCCTTTAAGCTGTGTGTGTGTGTGNGAAATTATTAAGGCTCGAATGTTGAATGAAGCACAAAGTGAAACTCTGACTCACCATAAGAGTATTTATGGCTTTGGCAGTACATCTTCGCAATAATTCAAAAGAAAATAAACTTCCTAAATGTTCTTCTGGCTACAAACTCAGGATCAAAGGAAGACATAAACTCCTGCTAAGAGATAAATCTCCGTAACAGGTTTGTAAAACCTGCAGTGAGCAGCTCCTTGCTTTTTATATTCCGTGGTTCAGACACCTTTTAAGAAGTCTTTGGAATGTAATATTTTTTTTTTTCCTTTTTGTCTTTTTTCATGACCGGCAACGGATCGCAACCCTCAGT